GGTGACGGGTCAACTGCCATTAACATCTTAGCTTTTGGTGAGCTAATCAGTCAGCCTACACGGCTTCGTTAATTACATCGAGATTTCTTGCGCTTCCTGATTGGCACATGGACAAATCTAGCAAGCACAGCATACGGCCACCGCTACAGCTGTATAAATATACGCCAGTTATACCAGTTTTGCACATCCACTCTAAATGATCGGAACAGCTACGCCCTGGCTTCTTGCAGGTGTTCAATCCTCGATGGCCACAGTGGTTGAGCACCGCCCCTTCACTCATATCCCAGCTCCTGTTCTCATATGCCAAGTGCTATATAGTCATACTGGCGTAGCGCTTTCTGCTGATGATTACGTGGAGCAGGTGGGTGGTGTGATGAGGGGCAGCAGGCCTTGTGAGAGGTCGGCTGGCTGGCCACACAGTTAAGCCAGCACGGTATCACCGCCAAACACACGGTCACTCAGTCCTCCTACCCTCGCAACATTGTCTTCACCTCTTCATCCTGGTTCAAGGATGCTGGGTGAGGGCTCCTTCACTCGCTCTTTCAAGGCTCCTCCACACACACACGAGTCTCCTTGAAGGTTCCTCCACACACACAAGTCTCCTTGAAGGCTCCTCCACACAGAGGTTTACATAGATTATGCTCTTCAATATTATAATTTAAGAAAGCAAAATAAACTATTTGGAGTAGTTCTCACGTTACTCTGCAGATATATTGAGTGCCTGGCAGACTGAGAGCAGACGGTCACACCAGTAAGGTGCACATCTCTTCCTCTGTTATGATATGTGAACGATAAAAAAAATTACTTATATCTAGCACCACTTACACAAACTAAATATTGAAATTGCTTATCGACCAAGATGAGAGCGAGGTTGTCCGCACGGTCACCTATCAAGTTACTGGACAGACCTAAGAATACTTAACCTGACTGCGAGTGCCGCGCACATTATCTACTACATCATAATGTAGAAAAGCCCCCACGTCCCTTCAACCCCAGGAAAGTGTTCAAGCTTCCATGTGGCCGCTACTGTTTTCCATTGGTGGGACAGGAAGCCCGTAAAGCTTATCGAGGTCTCTCCCTAGGCCAACAACTAACCTTGCCCTGAATGCATCCCACAAAAGCTCCTCAACTCATGAACAAATCCACAAGGGCCGTGATGAGGGTTCGAACCTACGTCCGAGAGGATCCCAGACGCGCCTTAATCGAATGTGCCACGACATTTACTGTAAAAGAATTGCAACCGGAAGTTCTGCTGACCTCACACGGATCCTGCAGTCTCCCCGAGACAACGATTTGGATTTGTTGTGGATTTGTTCATTTGATGCATCACGCTATTGTGATTTCTGTGTGTAATGAAGTAAGGGCGAAGAGGTAGAACCGCTTGCTGACAGAGCCCTAGTGCATGGGGGGGGGGGGGATGGGAATTGTGTAAACCCTGGTTTGTGTCTCTGAGAGTCTGCAGATTCCGTGTGAGGTCAGTAGAACTCCTGGTTGTAATTCTTTTACAATGTCGTGGCACATTCGATTAAGGCGCGTCTGGGATCCTCTCTGACGTAGGTCCGAACCCTCATCACGGCCCTTGTGGATTTGTTCATATGATGCATCACTGTATTGTGATTTCTGTGTGTTACCCAACTCCCTGGTGCCTATTGCGTGCAGGCTGCAAGTACCATAAGCAGACATATTGGGGGTCCGGAAGATAGGTGAACGTCTTGAGCTATCAAAGAGATCTGTTATAAGTATCATTAAACGAGAGCCTTGAATTAAATTGAAAACAAGTAACACATTGCAAACAATGACTAACATATCTGTTGTTCAATACAATGAGACGTGTCAAGGAAAACGTGTGAATGGGGCAAGTAACAGTATCAGCAGACTCAGACCTTGTCACAGCTCGAATACGACTAGGCTACTGTTACTATTACCAGCAAGATTATAAATTTATTTTGTTATTTTACAGTAAACACAGAGGTAGCCTCAGCAACGTCAGATATCCTCACCAGCGGCAACAAACTTTAGCTCTGGTGTCTAAAATGTTGAGTTTTCCACACAGAGCTAACACAATATTGGCCGACTAACAAGCTTAAATATGCGCATTGAGTCGTTATATCAAATTATATCAAATATACTTGCCAAAGAGATTGCGGCTGTATAAACATATATTATCAATTGTTAATTAGTATCAGTAAAGCTATTTACATGCGCTTGCACGTTGCTGCGTAACTTTTTTGTCAGCAATGACCCAACACGAAATCAACTTTATAGACTGATACGGAAGCTATGACCGTAGGGCCAACAGATTGTCATTGATACGGTTTATTTTGTCTATACTGTAATTTTGCATTAAATGAATACCCTTATGGATGACGCGGGTAAGCCAAATGTTTGCTTTGAACCTTGTTAGTACCTTGAAGCTCTTTTTCCTAAAGTATAGAAAAATGAGTACATGGATCCGCTTAACACAGGACTGAGTAATGGTAATGTTTACTCACAGACATAATAACATAGGATAAATCACTTATATATTTGTGTATTTTATGTAAAGACTTACACCTCAACGATTGATGCGCATTAGTCGTTGAGATGCAAGTCTCGTCCTAACCACATACTCAGACCTTAATGACAGTGCATTCAGGAGAATGCGAAAGACTTTGTGTAAATTTTTACATAAAATTCACAAATACATAAGTGTGGGTTTTTTTTATCCACAAGACTTGAGTACTGACGCAGCTGCCCTCCTCTACCTAAAGTCTCGACTTAATTCAGGGGAAAGCACGTGTGGTCATTCACCTCATTCAACTTCGCTATGAAGTTGTAGCACTTTCTGCAGCTGCTAGCTTGCCTCTCGCTATGAAGTTGTAGCACTTTCTGCAGCTGCTACTTCCAAGACTCTGTTCTTGGGAACTGTATTCTTTTATAATTCTTCAAACTAAGACTGTCATTACATTATCATGTCATACAAAACATTAAAACCCTCTCCATTAACACTCATTCATACACTATTCAATTTTAGACATAATTGGTATCACATTTATGTGTATCACATAATTCTGTGCATACTTATCCACCTGTACAAGACCTCAGTATATAATATTACAGCTACCAGTGGATCGGAATGCTTAATTACCTCCCCTCGGCCGCCATCCCATCGCAACTGCAGCAAAACCATTCACACTTCCATCCGCCCCAAATCCTCTTAGGCTATGCTTATTCTGGTAAACTCCCGCGCCTCCATTCACCACCCAACTCCGTGACGACGGTTCTGTTCACTGTGTCCAGCCATGTGGCTGGGCTTAATCTCTTGCTCACGGGCCTCGCAGTTTATCAGCCCTCAGATCCACGAGTGTCGTTTATTTGTTTATTTGTCTGTCCAAGGTGTGCCAGACACTTGGGGGGCTAACCTCGCCCAACTTTGCAAGGTGAATGGTCTGGGGTACTGAGCGGACATGGTCTGGTCGGGGTCGCCAAAATTCAAGGGGGGGGGGGGACAGCTTGCCACGGTGACGTACTGACCCCCAACAAGTTTTTTTTTTTAGTTCTGACCGCCGGCTACGCCTGGCTAACTATTTTGAAAATGAAAAATCAAAACAACGAATTCTTCTTATACAGCATTATTCACTGACATCGGAAAATTACCATAATTTGCATCTATTCATATTTTGGCTGCAGCACCATAAAACACATAGCTTCACTGCAGCCACCTCTCCTCCCACCAACCCGTCTTCTTAATAGCACGTCGCATTTTGACATATACTTTACCTAAGGACAAAAACTGTCGTACTAGAAAATGTCAGTGGCTCACGAAATTGACATAATGTTCAGTTTTCTGTTCGTGGATCCTCTGGTAGGTTAGGTTAGGGCACTAGTACGACAGTTTCGTGACGTTGGGAACGCTGGCGAGAACTGGCTGCCGTAGGCCACTTTGCCTCTCGAGGCTCTGGTTTAGGCTCTTATTCAGCTTTTCACACACGACTTGTCCGTATTGGACAATGGTCCAATACGGACCGAAATAACGTTGTTTCTTCATCTGGTGTTTGGTTTAGCCATCTACCGGAAGTTTTTTTCTTGAATTATATGATCTGTAGCTGAGAAAATTCCGCGGGAATGGGAGGGAATGGCATAATTACCTCTATAGGATTTAGACATTCTTGCAGGCAGTCAGTATCTATGTTCTCGGTCATAACCTTTTGATGGAGGTCAGAATATCGACCCTTCATGCAAACTGCATGTACCATCAAGAAGAAGAAGAATATCGATAATTTTCTAAGGGAAGCAGTGTTAAAGAGTTCTCAGAGTACCTATTACACCTTTCAGTGAATGGGTACCCAGGGGTTAGTTTGTTGTGGGGTTGCATACAGGGAAGGGTCAGCAAATTCGACTCTTAGGGAGAGGTTGGAGCCCCCCCTCGATATAAGTCTAACGTGTACTGTATGTATAAACTGGTTGCCTAGCTCAAGGTAAGGTAAGGTAGCCTGTCCCCCCCCCCCCAACAGATTGAATTAATATTAATTATATCACCACAAGTCACTATCAGGAGCCTTCGCTCCTGATAGTACGATAGTGATAGATAGATTTGACTCTTCTATGAAGTTCATTGTACCTCCCACTAGCAACATATATTAGTTTATCAGGAAAGGGGGAAAAATAGCACTTTTTAAGATGGATGATAGTACTTTTTAAGATGGGGGGATAGTACTTTTTAAGATGAGGGGCTAGTACTTTTTAAGATCCCAACAGTGTCTGGGGTTACGTCTGGCAGCTCCGACGACTGGATGCCTCTGCCGCCTCAATAGTTGCCATATTGGTGATACGAACGAGCAGCGGTGTAAGTGGTCATCACAGTAAAACGCAGAATGCAGGCTAGCAACGTAAAGTTACGGAATATGTAACATACGCCAGTACGAATGCTTTTCAAAGTATCATACAAGGAAACAGTTTTGGCACCCAAGGTCACTTATGGAAGGGAATGGAGTTGGGGGGGGGGGACTTGTTAGCGCGAGCTTACGCATATAAATCACCTCTGGTGCAATGTACTGAATCATAAACGCAAAATCAACACACAAATCCGTAGCGTCAACAGTCACAGTACACTTGTGCGTCTTGCTAAGAGTCAGGTATCCAGTGGTGCATTTAGTACACTTACACCTTACTAAGGAAGGGTTCCACAAGGACGTCAGCCTCTGCGCCATACGTCACTGCAGGCACTCTTTCTACGACACTGTAATCCATATTACAGGTTACTCGTACTACACTATAATTAAATGTAAGTGACTGTCAGGTCCTGGAGTACAAATGAGTGTTCTGCTTCGGTGTTGCTGGCTTCGATGGCTCTAATTCCAGGTTTAAGTTGAAAAATCCAGGGAACAGAAATTGTGTTCCTCCTCAAGCTGGTTGAGGGAAGTACGTACTGCCAGGGGTGCATTTGTCCAGCTTCCCGTAGGTGTTCCCTGGGGCCCCGTATTGGTTCTCAGGGGTCCCACTGGGGTTGCGGGGTTGAGCCCTTGATTCCTTGGGTTGGTTCTTAATTTTTCGCGTGATCCCGAGTTTGTTTACTCCCAAACTCCCAAGAAACAGATGGGGCTGCCATTCCCAGCCTTCCCTAGTGCATGACATGGGTCGCTGGTGTGTGCGTCTTGGCTCTGCGAATTTCCTCTACCTCATGTCGTGGAGTGCTTGCAGTGGCTGTTCTGTTTTTGTGTTCATGTTCTACGTACAGAAGTCTTATTTGCTCTGGTCTAGAACACTGTTGTTATCTGTGTTTGCTCCCTTTAACAAATGTTCTTATGCAATTCCGTGGAGAGCCGTTCATCTGACCAGTTCGCAAGACGTAACCCCCATCTTGAGCCATTGGTCTTCTGCCTTGAAGTTGTTTAATTTTTTCTACGTCCATGGCTCCTGACAAGAATTTTCTGATTGACCATAAAGTTATGTACAATGCTTGCACTACAGCTTCTCGCCAAGCCAAGAAATTACCTTAATGCTTTGCTATCTTTTGTACCATTCCACAACTTTCTTAATTGGGAAATTGACTAACACTCTTTTCTCTGGTACAGTACCTTTGTTCTTCAATCTCTTAACTTTAACTTCGACCAGCAAGTGCTTAGAGCCTGCACAGGTTGCAACTGCAAATTTATTAAAAAAGTAACATTTTCATTTTCCAAAGTTTTTGCTATTTTGAGTCGATTTTCCAGCCACTAGAAAAATTTAGGATATTTACCACCATGAAAAATAAAAGTAAAATTGGATACATTCTGTATTTTGTTGCTGTATTAGTAATCCATTTTTAGGGATTTGGCCTAAACACTTTGATACCAATTATGGCACTTTATTTTCAGTAGTACACCATTTGTTGCTGGAGGTACTGGATCTCTTTCATGTCTTTGTGGTACAGGGCTATCTGAGAATGATTCACATAGCTTTATCTTGCATTGTTTCAAGTCCTACAAGCATTCTACCAGGAACTAAAATGAGCAGTGATGCGGCATAGTCGATTAAGAATCTAATTATAAATAAGATATATAATTTTAGCAATTTTGACATTCACTCCATAGCTGGGATGATTCCACAATGCTGCCACAACCTTGAGCACTCTAAGCCATCTCACTATTGACGACCGAGTCTGGTTACAACATGGCCATACAGTGGAACCACAAAACCAAGGTATTTGAGTTTGGTTTCTTAGTCTAGCTAAGATCTATCATACAGTTGAATTTTAATCATTAATATCCCATCTGGGTGGGTGCTGATATATTATAATTTTTTCTCAGTTGAGATGATGACGCCTAGGTTCTTACATTTAATTCATATAGTTGGGGATATTCTTGGTTTTGGCACAGCATATCCAATGGTTATGTTATGATGTCAGCAAAGCTAATTTTGTGATCATTGGCTTTCCTAATTGCAGAGAAATTCTACAGATAATTACTAGGGTCAATGTCTGCAATTGTAAAAATTGTATGCTTTATGAAAACCCTTAATTAAACACAGGGGTTCTGTAGTACAATTGTCTTTGTCCTCGTCTCAACAGCAAGGGGTCCTGGGTTCGATCCCCGGACAGGACATATTGTTATGCATATTTCCTTTCACCTAATGCTTCTGTTAACCTAGCAATAAATACAACCCATCCTCCTATTTAGATAGTATTTTTTGTAACTATGTGGACCATTGTACATATATTGATGTAAAAGGTAATTACTAAAATTTGGTACTACTGTACTGTAATCATTTTATAGTCTGTTTTTTAGCTTTATTCAAACTTAAATATTCCTAGGTCTAGTATAGCACATATATATACCATATTAGGCCTCAGAAAGTGTATTAGGCCTAGGAAAGATAGGTTATTTTAGGTTTTCTTTGCAACATAAATACAAAACCTTTTCCAGTTTCTCTGGCACTTAGGGAGTTCAGAGAACATATACAGCATACATAGACATGATAAAGCACCTAAATTATTGGGATCATCTCAAAGCTCTCTAAATGTACTCCCTAGAAAGGAGATGAGAGAGGTATCAAATAATATACACATGGAAAATACTGGAGGGCCAGGTCCCAAATGTACACAGTAAAATAGCAACATACTGGAGTGAACAACATGGAAGGAAATGTGGAATAGAACCAGCGAAGAGCAGAGGTGACATAGGCACAATCAGAGAACACACTATCAACATCAGAAGTTTAAAGTTGTTCAACATCCTCCGAGCAAGCAAACAAAATATTGCTAGAACAAACGTGAACGTCTTCAAGAGAAAGCTGGATAGTTTTCTTTAAGATGTGACGGACCAACTGGGCTATGGTGGATTTGTGGGCCTGCGGGCCGCTCCAAGCATCACCCTGTTGGACCAAGTTCTCACAAATTAAGCCTGGTCCCATGCCTGGGCTTCGAGAGTAGAAGAACTCCCAGAACCCCATCCAGGTACAATCCAGGTTTGTCAAAATTCAATAGTACCCATTTATACTTTCTAATTACCTTTCACATCAATATATGTACGATGGTCCCCATCATTACTATTTACCAGCCCATCCTCCTATAAGTACTACCTAAAACAGGAGGATGGGCTGGTAAATAGGTACCTAGGAGTTAGGCAATGGTTGTGGGTTGCATCCTGGGAAATGTCAATGATTGGCTCTGGAGACCTTGATAAGCCTGACAGGCTTCCACTTCCCAACTCTGGGAAGCCATAAGGTAAACCAAATTGAAGAAGGAAAATTTGCCAAATTTTAATATTGTTATTTTTTGTTACTGTTAAGTTTTAGTTACGTTAATACCATAAAAGGTAGTCGCTGAATTTGGTAAATAAACTTTGTTACTATTTATAACTTATGAATACTGTACCTTCTCCAGGTACACATTTATTTGTAACTGTGATTACAGTATAGTGAAAATATTTCTTTAGCTTATAAGAGAACTGATAACAATTGTAATACTTTCATAGAATAAATTTACTAATAGAGTGTGATAGAGAGAAGTTTACCTATAAACTGGCACCTAAGTCTAATCTTTTAAATCATGAGAACAGGCTGGACTCAATAAATTTACTTGAGACAATGAAAATGATATTGAAGAATATAAAGGTAGATGAAGCTTGCACAGTAAATGTAAAGTGAAATGTGTTGGCCGATACGGAAATGCAAAGGCTAGATTTAGTCACTGGTCACTGGCCACTTTATGCTACTGTTCGTCATTGTAGGTTTATACAAAATTATTTTAATAATTTGTTGAAAATACCTATGGTATTAATAGAGAGAAGTTTACCTTTAAACTGGCACCTAAGTCTAATCTTTTAAATCATGAGAACAGGCTGGACTCAAAGGCAGGAAGGACCCTCAACTAGAGCAGTTCCATCAAGTGAAGGTACCTAAAGCAGTGCTAGTGTATCGTCTCCTAGACTAAATACGGTATGACTGTCAGTTACATACTTGTACAGAAGCAGTAGTAAGGTTTTGTTTTACTGTTTTGTAATTACAATGTCAAAACTTTATTTTTTTAACAATTTTAATTATGTTTCATGTTAATGTTTAGTGCAATCAATACTGTATATTAAAGTACTGTACAGGAGTAAATTTCAGTCCATTACTGTGTGAGAATTCTTGTTTTTATTTTATAGTTTATAGTGCAGTTCAGCTGTATTGTAAATCCATGTTCTGCTAACAGAGGTTAACAAGAATAAAGCTGCTCATCTGCAAGGAAAGTACAAACAGAAAGCAGTAAACAGTTGAGTGACAGTTGAGAGGCGGGCTGAAAGAGCAAGGCTCAACCCCCGCAAACACAACTAGGTGAATACAACTAGATGAATACAAATGTTAGGTTTTTGTATTTTAAACGTTTTATATTTCTTTTACCTTCTGGTACAGTATATTCAAAATGCAAATTTTTTTTTTATTATTTGGTTGTTTAAATATGTGCAATAATGTGTTCCATCATATGCGGTATATATTTTTCAATGTTGTATGAAATTCTGTACCTGTGCAAATCTTCATGAAATGAAATCCTCAGTAACTCAGAAATGCTCCAGCCCCATATGATCCATTTTATACATTACTTCTGTTCCATCAGACATAATGGGACAGAAGCCGACCAACCCGGAACTCTATTGAATTCACTGGGAAGTTCTGGAGGCCCCAAAATGGAGCCCAACCAGGATTTTATAGCTGGCCCACTCACACTGGCCTGCAGATAATGGTGTTCACACTCTTATGTCCCACTTTCAAATCACAAAGAAATCACAATGACCTGATGTATCAATGAGAAAATAATTTTGAGGCAATGGAGTGATATGAACCGACTTTCTGGTGATTCCCAGATACCTGTCTTAGCCAACTCAGCCTATTCTTACCTTACTCTGTTGACTAGTTGATCTGTTTTGTCATGTAGGCCTGCCATCTGATACACATAACACCTCCTCATACTGTATTTTCTTATAATCATATAATCATGTTGGCTGGGTGGGTGATTTATTTATAACAAAATTAGATTATTTGGCTGTTACTTATTCACATGCAATTGTGCATCTGTGCATTCAAATGCAACTTTGACTGATTGTGGACATCAGTCAAAGCAGCAAGTCACAATGAATGTGAGGATGGACATTTAAGATGGGTCATCAGCATTCCCCTCTATATAGTTTAGCTTACCAAAGTCAGCATTTTGCAGATTCCATTGTTGACAACCAAAAAAGTTCGACATTTTCTGTTAAATAACTGCATTTATAGCCAGATGTCAGGGACACTGAATTCACTTTATTTGATGTTTATGATACTTTGAGTCTCTGATGGCATCTGAAAAGTTAATAAAGAGGGCCATTTTAGAATGTAAGTGAATCCTTAAATTTGGATGTATTTCAGAGTATTTACACTAGAATTCGTGCCGAGAAGAGATCTCAACAATACAAGTCTAGAGTGCAGGCGATGAGTCACAATAACGTGGCTGAAGTATGTTGACCAGACCACACACTAGAAATTGTCATCGTCCCTTCAATTTCTAGTGTGTGGTCTGGTCAACAAGTCTAGAGTGTTAAAATGATTACCCAAACTAAACTGAACTCAAACCTTGCCCATCTTACCAACGTTTGGGGTATTTACCCCCTCCCCTTCCGGCCCGTTGGCGTCGTGAGGGGGCTTGGTGGACGGCTGCCGGAGTGTGATGCTCCATTGGGCAGTCCTCTGTCCTTTTTTTTGGCCTTGCACTCCTGCTGCTGTCTTCTCCAATTGTGCCGGATCGCTTTTCCTTTTCCTTATGTTTCGTTTTTCTCCCCCCTCTTCTCCTATCTGCTTGTCGTTTCCTGCCGACCTTTTGCTTGTTTTGGATTATTTCTTTGGACTTCTTCTATTTTGACGCCCGGGTGCTTGAGGAGGCATACTCTTGCACCCGTAGAACTGTAGTACCCGACGTCTCGAGCGAGGGGAACCTTTTATTGTCAATCCCCCTTTCGTCGCTGAACCCGATCTCGACGGACTGACGGTTCTTAAGGTGGCGTTTGTGGGGCGTATACTCACGACGCACCCCTAGGGGGCCCCGGCATGATCGGCGATAGCTTCCTGTTGGGTGTCCTGCCTCTAATTGTGGCTCCATGGTGGGTTTGGGGGCACATTCGTGGATGAATTTGTTACTTTTCGTCTCTATGTCGTTGAATGTTTCCGTTGTACCCTCTCAGGCTCGTGGGGTGGGCGACCAAGCCCCCGAGTCGGCCTGTATTGGAAGACCAGGCTCTGTAGCTCCCGCTGCGTTGGGCCCCGACCTTGCTCCTCCTTTGACCGTCCTGTCTTCTTCCCCCAGCTCCCCTCCCTCCTCTGAGGTTGGGTCGAGCCTCCAGCCCCCGGTGGTGACCACTTCGTCCCCTGGTGTGGCTAAGTCTTTCGTTGTGACTACTGCGCCTTTTGACCCCTCTCTCTCTAGGGGTTCTCAACGCCGTTCGCGCCCCAACCGCACTCGCTCGATTCCTTCCCGTGCTGATGCGTATCAGGCCTTGTTTGGTCCTGCTTCATGGGCCAAATACTTTGATCTCCTCCCTCTTGATTCTGCGCCTCCTGACGATTTCTCCCTCCATCGGCATCTTGTAGATTCCGTGGATGCGTGTGTTACTTTCAACCCCACTCGTCTCGGTACACGTGTCGTTGCTGCTCCTTCTCAGGATGCGGCTTCCCGCTTGGCTGCCTTATCTTGCCTTGGCGAGATCCCTGTTCGGGTCTCCAAGAACGTTCAGATGAATTCCAGTGTTGGCACTATTCTCCTCCCACCCCATGTTGCAACCGGTGTTCGGAATCTGCAGGATTGCCACGATGATATTCGGCATATCCTTGATGCCCAAGGCCATTCTGTCCTCCAGGTTGACTCGTTTACTCGTCCCCCTCGTGGTCGTCGCCGTCAACCCCTTCGCGTTGTGAAGATCACCTTTGATGGTAGGACCCTTCCATCCTCTGTCATTCTTGCTGGTGCTAGGTGCTCTGTCCAGGAGTATATTCCTTCTCCTCGACTTTGTAATAAGTGCTGGAGGTTTGGGCATGGTGCCCTCCGCTGCTCTGGGACTGTCTCTCTCTGTCCTTTGTGTGGGAGTGAAGGTCACTCTAAGTCGGAGTGCACTTCTCCCCAAGCTCGCTGCCTCAACTGCGGTGAAGCCCATCCTACCTTCTCCCGTGCGTGTGTCCATTACAAGCTTGAGGCAGCCGTCCTCAACCTGAAGCACCGGGAGCGTTTATCTTTTCCTGAGGCGAGGCGCCAGGTTCGCCGGCTCCCGCCTTATACTAATATCTCTTATGCTCGCGTGTTGCGCTCTTCCTCTCCTCGTCCTTCCCGCCTTCCTCAGACTCACAACCGTTTCCGGGCCTTGGACCCTGATGCGCCCACTGCCCCCTCCTCTGTTCCTTTGGGTTCTCTCCCGAAGGATCCTCCTCCTGGTCCTCTGTCTGGGGTTCCCCTTCCTTCTACCCGGTCTGTCGTGTCTTCTGTGTCTTCTTCCTCGTCCCCCTCCGATCCTCCTTCCCATCCTCTTCCTCCATCTATTGGCTCTCCCCACCGCCTGTCGGTGCGGGCGGATGTCCATCGCTCTCCTAACGGCCGTCGTGTGTGCTCTCGTTCGGCTTCTCCTGTTGAGACACTGGAATCCGTTGCCCGGTACGTGGTTGCTGGGACACCGATCTCTTTAAGTCAGAAGCGTAAGCCTGGCTCCTCTCCTTCCTCTTCCCCGGCGGGTAAGAAGGCTTCGCTTTCTTCCTCAGCTCCTTCTGGCTCTGTTGCTCCTTCCCCTCCCGTTTCAGTGCTTGCGCCCCCTGTTCCTGCTATGGAGGTTTCTTTGGCCCCTGCTTCCCTTTCGGTTGCTGCTCTTGCTGGGGTGCGCTCCCCTCTTTCTACTCCCCCTCCTCCTGCTGCTGTCCTTGACGGCTCCTCTCCGTTGTCTCCTCCTCTTCCTCCTCCTCCTCCAGACCCTGCCCGCCCACCTCTGCTCTGTTCTCCCGTTTCCTTCCCTCCGTCTTTGCTCAGTTTACCCATGCCCCCTAACCCTGACTTTGCTGACCCTGATCCCGACCCTGATATTCTTTAACGTGCTCTGTTGCTCTTTCGCCTTTGTTTCTTCCTTGTTCTCTGTTTTTGTCCTTTCTCTTCTCGTCGTTGTCCATTCTTCAATGGAACGTTCGAGGTTATTACGCCAATTTCCTCGAACTCCAACTTCTGATTTCGCGGTTTTCGCCCCTTTGTGTCTGCCTCCAGGAGCCAATGCTTGGTGCTCGTCCTGGTCGTTTTCGTGGCTATTCCTTTCTCTCCCCTCCCCCAGCCATTGCTGGGGCTTCTAATTCTTCTGCTCTTTTGATTCGGGCTGATGTTCCCTTTGTTCCTTTACTTTTTCCTTCGCCTCTCCATTGTTCTGCTGCTCGTATCTTTGTGGGGAAATGGTACACAGTTTGTTCCATTTATCTCCCCCCGAGTGTCCCGCTCTCTCTTCCTGATTTGAAACACCTCCTGGACTCCTTGCCGGAGCCTGTGCTCCTGCTGGGTGACTTCAATTGTCGTCATTCTCTTTGGGGTGACGTTCTGACGAATACCCGGGGTCGCCTCCTTGAGCCGTTTCTCCTCTCTTCTTCCCTGTCTCTTCTGAATTCTGGTGAGCCCACTCATTTGGACTCTCGGACTCGCACCCTTTCTTGTCTTGATCTTTCTCTCTGCTCTTCTTCTCTTTACTTAGATTTCACGTGGCAGGTTCTTGATGACCTCCATGGAAGTGATCATTTCCCCATCCTTGTTTCCTTTTTCTCTTTTCGCCCTTCCCTCTCTTTCCCTAGGTGGCAGTTTGCTAAGGCAGACTGGACCCTATTTACCCTCAGTGCTGCTCTCCCTGACCTCTCCCTTCTGCCTCTCTCTCGCGCTCTCCTCCTTTTTCATGACACTGTCTTCAACGCTGCCCTCCGCTCTATTCCTCGCTCTTCCTCTCGGGGTCCACGGAAGTGCGTTCCCTGGTGGAATGCGGACTGTGCTCGGGCTGTCCGCTGTAAGCGTGCAGCCTGGAAGAGGCACCGCCGTAGGCAGACGACCGATTCTTTTCTTTTCTTTCGGAAAGCGAGTGCGGTGGCCCGTAGGGCCATCCGTACGGCTAAACGTGAATGTTGGGCATCTTATGTCTCAACAATTACGTCCGAGACCCCTCTGGCCCAGATCTGGAAGCGTATCCGCAAGATAGCGGGTAAGTTCGTTCCCGATGTTTCACCGGTCCTTCACCTCCATGATACTCTTGTGGCGGACCCGTTGCAGGTCGCTTCCGAACTGGGTTCCCATTTTTCTTCTGTTAGCTCTGGTCTTCATCTTCCCCAATCTTTCCTTCTTCGTAAACCTGTCCTTGAGTCTCGTCCTTTAGATTTCTGCACTCATCTTCAGCTTCCCTATAATGATCCCTTCTCTCTCTCTGAACTTCGTTCTGCCCTGGCCCTCTGCGGTTCTACGGCGGCGGGCTCCGATGGTATTCATTATGAGATGCTTCGCCATCTCCCTCCGAGCACGTCTCAGTATTTACTGAGTCTGTATAATCGGATCTGGGAGTCGTCGTCAGTCCCTGAGGACTGGCTCGATGCCGTTGTCCTCCCTGTTCGCAAACCGGGGTCTCTGGGTACTTCCCCTAAGGACTTTCGCCCTATTGCTCTCACAAGTTGTGTCTGCAAACTCTTTGAACGTATGGTTAACGTTCGTCTGATGTGGTTCCTGGAACACCATCACCTCCTCTCCCCTTCTCAATTTGGTTTCCGCAAGTGCCGCAGCACGACAGATGTCCTGGTGAACTTGGAGGTCTATATTCGTACTGCTTTTGCTGCGAAGACCTCCGTTGTTGCCGTCCTTTTTGATCTAGAAAAGGCTTACGACACCACTTGGCGATATCATATCCTATCTCAACTTCATTCTTTTGGCCTTCGTGGTCATCTCCCTCTCTTTCTCCGCAGCTTCCTCTCTCGTCGTTCCTTTCGGGTGCGCCTTGGTACCGCTCTGTCTCCCTCTTTTCAGCAATACGAAGGTGTGCCCCAGGGTAGTGTTCTGAGCACTACTCTTTTTCTTGTTGCCCTCAATGGTCTTCTTTCCTCTCTTCCTTCTGGTGTCTTCTCCGCTCTCTATGTCGATGATCTTACCCTTTGTTGTCAGGGTGATGATTCGCCTCTCCTTCAACGCCGGCTTCAACTTGCAATTGATGCCGTGTCGTCTTGGGCCACAGGTCATGGCTTCAAGTTCTCTACTTCTAAGACTTGTGCCATGACTTTTACGCGGAAACGGGTTGTTCTTCGTCCCTCTTTGTCACTTTATGGTCATCCCCTTGAATACAAAGATTCCGCGAAGCTTTTGGGGTTATTCCTTGACACTCGTTTGTCTTGGTCTCCCCATATCTCTTACCTCCGTGTTGAGTGCTCTAAGGCCCTTACCCTCCTTCGGGTCTTGTCCCATACTTCTTGGGGGGCAGATAGGCGCACTCTCCTTGCTTTACATTCCTCTCTCGTCCTGTCTAAGCTCGATTATGGTTGCCCTGCTTACTCGTCTGCTTCTCCTTCTACTCTTCGCCGTCTTGATGCTTTGCACCATACTGGGTTGCGCCTCAGTTCTGGTGCCTTTCGTTCGACTCCCATCCTTAGCTTGTATGTTGACACTGGCTTCCTGTCTCTCCAGGACCGCCGTGATCGCTACTGTCTTCGCTATCTTGCGCGGTCCTTGCAACATCCTTCCTCTCGCCTCTGTCGTGCTTTAACTTTTACCCCTCCTGCGGTTCCTGTTCCTCTTCACCACCTCCCTCTTTCTGTCCGGTTATCTCGCCTACAGGATTCTCTCTCCGTTCGTATTTCTGATGTTTCTCCTCGTGTTGTTCCTTCTTTGCCCCCGTGGAGGGTCCCTCTTCCGCGGTTTTGTACTTCCTTGACCCGTATCACTAAAGCTTTTACCCCTCCTACGGTTCTAAAACGCCTTTTCCTCGAGCACTTTTCTTCTCACTCCCGCTCCGTTTCTGTCTTCACCGATGGGTCTAAGTCAGCGGACGGTGTTGGCTACTCTGTTGTTTTTCCTGATCGCACTTATATGTGTCGCTTGCCTCCGGAGACTAGCATCTTTACAGCAGAACTTTATGCTATTCTCTATGCTCTTCGTCTCCTGCTTTCTCGTTGTCAGTCTTCCTTTGTGGTTGTTGTTGACTCTCGTAGTGCCCTCATGGCTCTCGGGTCCTTTAATCCGGTTCATCCAGTAGTTGTCGAGATCCAGCATTGGCTGTTTCTCGTTCACAGTAAATTTAAGTCGGTTGAGTTTTGTTGGGTTCCCAGCCATATTGGTGTGTCTTTAAATGAGCGTGCGGATGCTGCCGCTAAGGAAGCTGTCCGCTCTTGTCCCATCTCTCGTAAAGGCATTCCGTATTCCGACTTTTACCCAGTTATCCATTCCTCAGTTCTTACCCGTTGGCAGGCTTCTTGGTTGTCTGTTACTGGTAACAAGCTACGTACTCTTAAATGTTGTGTTTCCTCGTGGCCGTCCTCCTTCCACCGTAACCGGCGGTGGGAAACAGCTCTGGCGAGGTTGCGTATTGGCCATACTCGCTTAACCCATGGTCACTTGATGGAGCGCCGCCCTGCTCCTTATTGTCCTAGTTGCATTGTCCCTCTTACGGTCGTGCATGTCCTTCTTGAATGTCCTGACTTCCAGGACGAGCGTGTGTCTTGCTTTCCGACCGCCCCTCGCGGTCACCTGTCCCTCGATAGAATTCTTGGTGACTCGGATACTTTTGATATCGTTCGCCTTATGCGTTTTTGTTCTCGTATTGGCATCCTTGGTGATATTTAGCGCCCTCTGATTATTTTGCGTATTTGATGGTGCTACATAGCCTTCCCGGTTTGGTGCCTTCTTTTGATAATTACTTACTTACTTACTTTGGCAAATCTGTGTACTTCTAGATATCATTATGAAAACACTGTCTAATTTGCATACACATTTCTACAGTAACATCTTAGAATAAGCAATAACTGTCTTGTTATAACAAAAAATTTTGCATACAATGGTATGAAAATTTTTATGCAAGCTATTTTTAATGAAGTTTTAGCAAAGGCCAAAGCCTAATAGGCCCAAGGCCTTTTACCTTGAAAAGGCCTGATCAGAGACTACTGTGTGGGGGTAGTGGAATCCCCATCCATGTAAACTAGAAGGATTTGCAGGTTAAATGTTCATTGGTATCCCTGACCATCCAAGTGGTTGGGCACCATTCCTCCCCCCCCTCCCTTGTCCCTTTCCAAATCCTTATCCTGATCCCTTCTCAGTGCTATATAGTCATAATGGCTTGGCATTTTTGCCTGATAGTTCCCTTCCCTTCAATGGTAATGTGCATTTGTTAGAGCACTTAGTACGTGAAAGATGTCAACAGCATTTTGTTTTTCTTGTATTCTACAGGCTGGGCCGCGGTGGGTGGAAACAATCTTCAATAAGCGGGAGTGTATCAAGTTTATCCCTAGCAGTAAGGACAATGCCAGGTTAGTGAGGTGTTTTAATTCTCTGAAGTCTCACTTTACCCACCAAGAGGTGAACAATATGTATATAACATGTACTGGATGTGCACATCTTTGTTGGTGTTTGGGGGAGTGGTTTTATTGAAATGGCATTGATAGCCATTTGTTACCATTGGTAACATTTCTTGAGGTTGTACAGTATGTACCTGTATATGAGCTCCACATCATTTATCTGTCAAATTAAGGCTACCTTAGTCTGGATTAGGATTTTGGCATTTTTGGAGAACATTGCATTAGAGTGCAGCCCTATAAAGGAATCTCACTGTAGACCAAAGCCTAATACTACATTATATTAGAATCTCAATACTGTTATCTTAGAATCTCACTGTTAAGTTTTTATTACATTACCGCAACATTATTCCCGCTTAAATTTTTTAAACGTGTTATAATATTCAGTAGCTGTGTGTTTTGAAGCATAAAGTTATCTTGATTGATGGATTTTTATCATTCTTGTTAACAACTTATTATTAATGCTATTGGAACTTAAAATTTTATTTGATAATCATATTGCATCGTAACATGCATATTAGGACTTGGGGGGGGGGGGGGATATGTTCATTCTTTTATAGGCTTCACTGATGTAGTACTGAAGTAGAATGTGTTTCTATTTACTGTAGTAAGATTTATTTAATGTTACTCTCATGGATGTTCATCAGTGATAATTCATGAAGTCCAAAATAAAAGTTGGCCAGCTCAATCCTTAAATTATTTAAGGAAATCAGATTTTCATCAGGTGGATCAGTACAGCTAAAATATTCTTTTTTTATACACACCTCATTAAAATATGGTTGTAAGTGAAATTCTTTAATATTGTTTTGTAAAAGTGTACAAGTTGAACAAATTCACAAGGGCCGGGATGAGGGTTCGAACCTACGCCCAGGATGATCCCAGACATGCCTTAGTCAACTGTGCCACGATATGGGCGGCTGACAGCTGGGTGGACAGCACTTTGGCTTCGTAGTCCTGAGGTTCCGGGTTCGATCCCCGGTGGAGGCGGAGACAAGTGGGCAAAATGTTTCTTTCACCCTGTACCCTGGGAGCCGGTCAGCCGAGCGGACAGCACGCTGGACTTGTGATCTTGTGGTCCTGGGTTCGATCCCAGGCGCTGGTGAGAAACAATGGGCAGAGTTTCTTTCATCCCTATGCCCCTGTTACCTAGCAGTAAAATAGGTACTTGGGTGTTAGTCAGCTGTTACGGGCTGCTTCCTGGGGGTGGAGGCCTGGTCGAGGACCGGGCTGCGGGGACACTAATCCCCGAAATCATCTCAAGATAACCATGGTAAAAGTTGTGGATGGTAAAATCCCTTGTGGATTTGTTCATTTGATATATCATGCTATTGTGATTTCTGTGTGTACAAGTTGTGATTGCAAGTGGCTCTGAATGGTCAATAGAACACTCGCTTATATGTTTTGTATCTGAAGAAGAGGATTTTATGAGGACTTGGCTCATGCTTATATAAACAAATATTTCTTTATTGGTATTGATAACTTTTATTTAGCTAATGGTTGTATGTTGATGTAAAGCACCTTACTTGCTAATATGGGTTTGCAAATTGCAGACTGAAAAATACATATCAAACCTTAAGTACAGTAACTATTACAAAATAACTTTTTCTTGTTTCCTTTCTTAACTTCCTTTGCATTGCTGTCAGAGCTGGAAAAAGTGTACTGGAGTAAGTGGTGGGAGACTGCATGATACATCCGCATAACAGGTCATGGTTGATGCTGACCAATGTTTATATCACAGCATGTAGGAAACTTTATATTATATGAAATGATAATTACCTATTCTTCTGAAACGGTACAACTTCATGCACAGTTTCTAGTTTTATATTTTAAATGTTAATTTTATTACCTTTTATGGTATTAAATATACAGTATACCAGATAGAGGGACTTAATTACTTGTTGTAGTTTTGGTTTAATTACTGCCTGTGGAAAGAAGTAATAAATGAAACTCTTACATTCCAGTAATTTTTAATCAGCATTATGTTATCTTCTTGAAAATAGGCAGACTGCATAAGTCTGGTATTTATTTGGCCATAAATTTGAGACTTTTCTTTCAGATCTTTTATATCTTACATAAAAAAAAAAAACTTTGACATCTTTTATAACATGTTGCTTGCCTTATGACATTGTTTTGTTATTGCATTGATAATTTCTCATATAAAATTTCTACATTTTATTGTAATTTTTGGCTAATAGGGTCATTGCTGAGCATTTTGATCTCTCTCTCCATTGGTTTCATAATCACATGAAATATTCCCTGTTAATTTTGGAACAAGTTACAGTACCAAAATATTAATTTGAAAGAACGCATAGTGTATTGTTACTATTTCCATTTCTTGCATCAGTCACTTTTGGGTTGCTAGTAACTTTTCATTTCATGGCCTGTCTGTAGTTTATGGCATGAATACAAATTTAATTTCATTAAACAATTTTATATTATAAGTGACAGTAAAACAGTTTTGTCACATTCTAATTATGCATTATATCATAGATAAAATACAGTATGTACATTATCTTTACAGTATATAAGTGCAGGGGTAATGGTCTGGGGTAGTGAATGGACATAGGCTGGTGAGGGTAGGACTAAGTTCAATGATTTTAGAAGTACAGTACAGTATTAGCAATTATAAACACCCCTTGCCATTTTCATGAAGTCTTTCATGGAGTCAAATGTAAAATATGCATGTGATTAACTTGGAGCTGTTACTGAAAAGAAACTAGAATACTGTATATAAAGAGAAGGTAAAGGAAAAGGAAAGCATATGAAACCCCTATCTTTGTTTCAATGCTTTTTCAGGGGGGATAAAGGGGAGGAGGTTGAAGATAGCTAGGTAGAGAGATAGCTAGAGGAGGAGATAGCTAAAGATAGAGGTATGAGTGTAAGGTTTGCCTCTCGTAACATCATAGAAGTATGATTCCATGATTGTTTCAAGGGTAGGTTAGACATATATATGAATGAGTTTGGGTGGATATAAATAGGAGCTGCCTCATATGGGCCAATAGGCCTTCTGCAGTTACCTTGATTATTATATTTCAACATATATGGGTGTCATTGATTAATAACGAGTAGCATTCACAGATACACACACAGGGATGATTGTTTACATATTTTGATGTTTTACACAGAATAAACCCTATGAAAAGTAGAGCTACCATTGGTATGATCAGAGAAGACTATGGACATCAAAGGTCCATGGTTTTTCAGTATTCTCCCAGCAAGCATAATAAATATTGCGGGTACAAAAGAAACTAGACAGATTTTTGCAGAAAGTGTTGGATCAACCAGGTTGTATTGAATATGTGGGTGTGCAAGCAGCTCCAAGCTTGTCCAACATGCCCTGTTGGACCAAGATGTCAGAAGACATGCTTGGCCCCAGTCCAGACTCAAAGAGTAGAACAACTTCTAGAACCTACTCCAGGTATACATCAGGATAGAAAGAAAACTTCAACTCACATGGGAGCACTGAGAAAACATGGGTCCCTCTATAGGATTATAGCTGACAACAATTATACTTAATATTAAAGAGGATCTGGTATGCACAGAGCTACTAACTCAACCAATGAGGTGGTAGAGGTACTTGGAATCAAGGTAAAAAAAATATACCTAATTATTATTATAATAATATATAAACTGCCAGATGCAAAAGTTGAGGAATTCACAGAGCAGATTCACAAAATAGAGAATATCCTTGATAACCTAGCAAACCCAGTTCTAGATATCATCTTTGGAGACTTCAATCTACCCAGCTTAAGATGGTGACTGGCAAACAATAATATCATAGCAGGAAACCAACTTGGAAATACTGTAATCAACTGCAGGTCAGAGAACTGTTGAGATTGTGACAAATTCTTGCTCATTCAACAGATTACAGGACCAATTATTAACAAAAACACACTAGATCTGATATTCACAAACAATGATGAACTAATCAGAGACATTAGAATCTCAGATACTACATACTCAGACCATAAACTCATTAAGGTGCAAACTAACATTAATAACGGTAGTAGGTCCAAGAGAACCAACAAGCAAGAGGGTTTATTCAATCAATTCAATTTCAACAGTAAGAGGATTGACTGGGAAAAAAATATAGACCTTGCAAACATTCAATGGGAGACAGACAGTCTTAAGTAACAAAACTCCTACACAGGGAATAGCACAACTTATCACTGTATTCTGAAGCATACAAGATCTGCTTGAAGCATGTGCCTGTGAGGAGGATCAGATAGAAGACCACTCTAGAAAGAGAAAGAAGACTATTGTACAGGAGAAGGAAAAAATCATAGAAATGCTTAAACCGACATGATTATCACAAGAAAGGAAAATAAATCTGGACAGGGAGATAGATGAAATACAGCAGATGATGAACCTTTCATACGAGTCTGAGTAAATGGAATTGGAACAGAAAACTATACAAGAGATAAAGAAAAATTCCAAAATATTTTTTCACATGTGCAAAATAAAAATAAAAACAGCAGGATTGTGGTGATAATAAGCACCGTGCATAGTATTGTGGGAGGAGGAATTGTGATGAGGGAGCGAGTGAGAGAATCGAGGTAGCCTCACTGTGTGTGGCACCCATTCTTGTTTTGCTCATCATACTAGCTTAGTGGTTTGCTATGGTGAACACACATGTACATGGGTATATACAATGTGTGTATATACCTATGTACATATGTGCTTAGTGTTGTGGGAGGAGGAATTGTGGTCAGGGAGCGAGGGAGAGAATCGAGGTAGCCTCACTGTGTGTGGCACCCATTCTTGTTTTGCTAATCATATAGTGGTTCGCTATGGTGAACACATTTGTACATGGGTATATACAATGTGTGTATATAGTGTAATAACAGCAACAGGAGTATGTTGGGAGGAGCTATTTTGGTGAGGGAGGTGACGTAATCGTAGCGTCGTCAGCTGTGTGATTTCTCATGCAGTGTATGGTGGCCACTGTAAAGTTT